TTATTATTATTATTATTATTATTATTATTATTATTATTATTATTACTATTATTTTTACGCATTATTACGAAATTAATTATTTCCAGTCGGTTTTTTTTTTCAATTTTTTTCATTTTTTTTTCGTGATAAATTCGTACGAGTAAAAATTTTATCCTTATAATTTATAAAATTAAATAAGATTGATTGATTGATTGATTGATTGATTGACTGACTGATTGAATTTAACGTAAAAATCACGAATTGAATATAAAAAAAAAAACGGTTAATCACGTTTTGAAACGGAAAACACACGATTGGAAAATTATTATTGTGATAACATTTTGTGCAATATTTTTTCCATAAAAAAAAAAATTCATTCCAAAATTTTATTTATCTGGAAAAAGTAAAAAAAAATAATTTAAACTTACCCTGTAAAGTAACGAAAACTTCTGGAAAAAAACTCAACGGAAAAAAAATTCCAAAAAATTTAAACAGAAAACACTCGCGGTTTTTTTTTCTATTCCAAAATTTTAAAAAATTTTCAATTTTTTTTTTGGGTGATAAGAAAAAAAACAAAATAAGTACAAAAATAAGGTAGCCGGAGCCTAAGGCAAGGTTCGCGTTTACAATTCTCCAGATGGAGTCTCTGGAATTACTACGATCAAGTCTGACAATCGACTGAACCAGGTACAAAACTCGCGTACCAGAGGAAAACATAAACACCTCGAAATGAAGCGCAAGTTTACACCTGTTTAACTTTTTATCATTATTATTATTATTATTTTCTACTCTTAGTTACTCCATTTTTTTCCAAAACTTTTACATGCATAGTGATTTTGGAAAATTCTCCAGGACGTGGAAAACAACAACAACAATAAAAGAAAATCATTCAAGCGATCGGATTAAAGTTTTGATTGCCTTCTCCAGAAGACAAATTGGAAAAATCCAGAAATAAATCATCTAATTTTAATTTCTCCCCACCCAACAGACTCCAGATTTCCAAAAAAAGAAAAATAATAATAATAATAATATTTATCCGTTAAAAAAAAAAAGAAAATTTTTTATTGTCGTCGTCCTCTACTTTTTTTGGTATCATCATCACGTAAAGATGTAATGAGTCGGATAAAAAAGGTAAAAAAAAGAAAGAAAACAATTTAAACAAACGACGAACAAACGACGATTAAAACAATAAGACAAACGACAAACGATAAAAACAATACGACAAACGATAATTTTTTTTATTAATAATGGTGTAAACGTAGTCAACGATTTAGTTACGCTCATGTCAGATGTTGATGCATTCTCTTATATATGAACATTTTATGAATGAACCAAAATCTGTCATTATGAATGGTACCCCAGGCTACTTATAAAAAAAAAAAAACCTGAACCGAATTATTATAAAAAGGAAAGAGAAATGAAATTCTCGTATTGGAAAAACTGGAAGAGAATGTCATGATGATAATAATAATAACCGAAAAAAAAAATTAAGGAAGGAAGGAAAAAAAAATTTTTTCGACCATTTAACAAAACTAACTTTTTTTCGAAAAAAAAATGTCGTACAAAAAAAACAAAAAAAAAAATTGATCAATTAATCCGTTTGACTTTTTCGTAACGTGTAAATAAATATTTTGTTTTCCCTTTTCATCTTCTGCCACGATTTACGTTATTTATTACACGTTATTATTTTTAACGTTTATTACACGGTATGAAAAATGACCTAAACGAATTGTTAAACATATTTAATGATTAAGATTTAACGCCGTTTAAAAAAAAAATGGGATACGAAATTTGTCTTTCCTTTTCCCTCTCTCTCTCTCCCCCCCTTCCTCCCCCCGCGCTCTCTTTTTAACACAACAGCAAATTTTTAACAAACAACCAACGAATTTTTACTTGGTTTCCCTTTGGAAAATCTTTTTTTTTTTTTTCAAAGGAAAAATTCCAACCTTTTAAACTACCTATCATCATCATCATCATCACCATCATCATCATCATCATTATTATCATCATCATTATCATTATCGTTTTGTTTTACCATTAAAAAAAATTAAACGACCTAAAGATATGAACGACTTCTTCCGGTACAAAAAAAAAGAAAAAGACGTGGTTTTTATTATTATTTTCATTTCTTACATATCCCTCCCCTCCCCTCCTTTAACGGTCGTTAATTCAATAATACCTTAAATACCTTATTTAAAAGAATAAGATGATAATGATAATGATGATGATGATGAAATTGCTGACGTTTTACGTGTGCGAGCGGGCTTAAGGCACCTGTTAAATATTTTTTTTTTTTCAATTAAATTTTTTTATTGATCGAACGTTAAAAAATGTTTGTTTGTCGTGGCAAAAGAAAAGAAAAAAAAATCAAATTCTCCTGTCGTTTTACATTCAGGTACGAATGACGTAATCAAAAAAAAAAAAAATATTTCGGGTTATTACGACGAACCCGTTTAAAAAAAAAAAATAAAAAACCGACAAAAAAAAAAATTTGAAAGTCAAAATAAAATAAAAAAAAAAAGGAGAGAAACTAAAACTGTTGCTTCCTCAGGTAATTTATTTCTCCATCCATTATTATTATTATTATTATTATTATTATATTCGAACGTCCCACATTCATGTTTTTTTGATGACCGACACATTTTGACGTCGTTTTTTTACCACACACATGCACAATCATTTACATTTTCACTCGTCGTGTCGTCGTCCATCCATTTTGTTCTCCAGTTTCTCCAGTTTATAAACATTTGCTAACTGAAAATTAATACGGTTCCAGTTGGAATTCGTGCGTTATAACGGGGAGAAGGAGGAGAGGAGAAGAAGAGAATTCGTAGGGATGTTGGCGGGGAGGTGGGATGGGGGTCTTTGACGTGAACGTTTTTTTTTTGGCACACGGTTCCCATTACGAAACTCCTTCGACACACATTTGTTTTGTATCCTTTTTTTTTTAACGGTCTGGAATTATTATTTTAGAGGGGGAGGGAGGGGTGGGGGCCCCGTTTTTAACGACGTTTTAGAAAAAATATTTTGTTTCTCTCTCTCTCTCTCTTCAGGCTCTTTTCGTTTACCGTTTTTAACACACAACCGTCTGGAAATTTAATTGAAAACTTATTTTGTTTCTTTTTTTTCTTTTCGTATTCTTAAATAATAATAATAATATTAATAATAATAATGATAATGAATGAATGAATTTATGCAAATTATGCTAAAAAAAATTTTTTACGTTGAAATGCGAGATGATAATAATGATGATCTAAATTCAACAACAAAAATTAATTCGTGGCTTTTAATTAATTAATTAATTGATTTATTTATTTATTCATTATCATTATTATAATTATTTTTTTGAATAAATAAATAAATAAAATCGCATCGATATCACAGGATAAAATTTATTAAAAGTTGTTTTTTAAAAAAAAAAAAAAAAAAAAAAAAAAGAAAACCAATAAATTAAAAAAAGACAGAAAACAGAGAAAAAATTTTTTTTTATTACTCAGGACTAACTGGAAGGTTAAAAATTTTTTTTTTTTTTGTACCCTCGAGTTATACATTTTGAACTTTTTAGAGCAGGTGAAAAATTTTTTAATTATTTTTACGTTATAATAATAATAATAATAATAATAATAATAATAATAATAATAATAATAATAATAATAATAATAATAATAGACGTTCGAAAATTTAATGTTACGTACGAACGAGAGAAATTTTAATTTTAAAAAATTTAATAGAAGGCATTCCTTGAATGGGCGACATTTATTGTTTTAACCACACTCAGGTACACAACAAAAACTTATGTAAACTTATCAACAAGAAAGAGAGAGAAAAAAAATAGTAGTACTAGTGAGTGTGAGAGAGAGAGAGAGAATTCATTTCCTTCTTTCATTCATTTACCATCGTCTCCTTTTTTTTTTTTTTTTTTTTTTAGTTGTTTAAAGATTGCCTTTCCCTCCCTCTTTCTTTCTCTCTCTTTTTTTTTGCTACCTGATTTTTATGGTTTTTTTTTGTTTTAAATTAATAAAAACAAAATGAAAAACGATGGCGAAATAATAATAATAATAATAATATTAACCATTTTATATGTAACAAGAAAAAGGAGTTTAAAAAAATTCTCACAACGTTAGCAACAACAAAAAAAAAATTTTTTTTTTTCAAATCGAATTTTAATGAATTAAATTTTTTTTAATTAAGCAATTAAATATAATTTAAAAACCGTTCGACTTAACGGTTTTTTTTTTCTTTAAATACAATTAATGATTTTTAATATTAAATTTAAATTAAAATAATAATAATAATAATAATTTCCTATTCGGTTATTCCCATATTTTTAATGAAAAAAAAAAAAAAAAAAAAAAATTTCATTTTGCTACAAACAATAAACAATATCGAGAACCGGAACGATATTATTCTTCTTCCACGATTGAATAATTAAAAGGAATAGTAGTAATAATAATAATAATAAACAATTTTCAATTTAATAATTCGTCTACTATATTTATTGCTAAAGTGAAAATAAAACAAAAACAAAAAAAAAAAAAAAAGCAAAATTTTGTTGATTTTAATACGACGAAACGCCGTCCGTCATCGTCAACGTCATCAAATTCCTCGCTCCTGATTTATCAGGTTTAGCGATGAATCGTCATAAAATCCTGTGCGCGTCACGCGCGCGTGGATCACAATGTTGACGGTGATTTTCGTCGTTTCGAGCTTAAAAAATAAAAAAAACATTTTCCTATTTCACTTTCGTATGAAATCGACTCCCTACATCGACATCCTTTTGGGGGGGGGGGAAAATAGTAATAATAATAATAATAATTTTTCGGGAATGACTGCGTGTGTGTGTTAATGGAAAAATAAATTAAAGCTTTACGTTTTTCGTACATAATTAAATTGTTAATAGCTAAAAAGATCCGTTATGAAGATTCCGTGAGGAGAGAAAAAAAAGAAAAAATGGTGGAAAAGTCGATGTTTAAAAAAATAATTCAAAGTCGATTTCGAAATGTGAAATAGGAAAATTAACCTCAGCAAGCCGTCGTTTCCGGCGGTTTATCTTCAGGATTTTTGACCCTACTCAGCGTCGTGAATATCTGGAATTTAAAAAAGAAAAAATAAATTAGAACGTCAGAGTTTCCATCAAAAAAAAACATTTTGTAAAAAAAAATTTAATTAATTATTACCTCGGCGCAAGTTGGATGAATTCCTATGAGGTCGTCAAAATCGCTTTTCTTTGCGTTTAACTTAAGCGCGATGGCGTAGCCTTGAGTGATTTCTCCAGCATTTGGAGAGAGAACGTGAAAACCCACGACGAGTTCCTGTCGGTTGAAAAAATAATTTTTCCATAAGTAATTCATCGTATTCATTATTATTATTATTATTATTATTATTATTATTTTTGTCCTCACTTCTAAACTTTTGACGCAAATCAATTTTGCGTAACCGAGTGTGTCCTCCCGGGAAAGTGCGTGTTCCAATGGTTTAAATGCATTGTGATAAACCACAATGTTTTCTTTTCCGAAAATGTTAAAAGCTTCTTCCTCCGAGAGTCCGACCGTGCCGTATTCCAGGGGGGTGAATACCGTCGTGGGAACTTGCTTGTAATTCGTCGTTTTGTTGTGGACGCCGCATATACGCTTTTTATAAAATTATTATTATCATTATTATTACTTATTTTTTCTTTGACACGTTTCGTAACAGGTATTAGTGATAATTAATTACCTGTGCCAAGTATTTTCCAGCGTGTATGGCTACCGGAGTGAGTTCGGGTTTTCCATCGATGACGTCACCGATGGCGTACACGTGCGGCACCGATGATCTTTCAAATTCGTCCACGATTATTTTTTTATTTCTAAAAAAAAAACAAAAATTTAGTTATTTCATACAAATAATTTTATCTTTTTTTTTTATTATTGTTTTTTTGATTTACTTTGGATTTATTTTTAAATTTGGTAAATTTTCAAGGCCTAATTTTCCGGTACAGGCTTCTCTCCCGATGGCTAATACCACGGTGTCAAATCCGGAGACGACGATTTCATCTCCTTTTTTCGATTTAGCTGCCACTTTTATTTTACCCTCGTTTGTTTTATTAAATCCGATCGGCTCGTATTCCTTCACAAATTTAATCCCTATTTTTTCCATGTGTTCACCGATCAAGTCGGCAATTTGACGATCGAATCCTCGAAGCAATATGGATCGCACCTAATAATAATAATAATAATAAAATTTAATCATCCTCTTAATGAAATTACGTATTTGTGTTTTTCCCATGTGCGTTGGTGACTCACCATTATTGTGACGTCATAGCCTAATCCCTTAAGAAAACCTCCGCATTCCAATGCTATGTACGATGCTCCTACTATGAGAGTTTTCCCCGGAGGTTTCGACAGTGAAAACAAATCGTCTGACGTAATACAAAATTCTTTTGCACCTGCAAGTCAATGAAATTCGTTTGTGAAATTTGCGCACTTTTCCGTAGCAAATCAATTTGTATCAAAGAAAATTATTATTACCGGGTACATTTGGGTACGCGGGTCTACCTCCGACCGCTATTATAATATCTTTTGCCGAGACTTCGCTCACTTCTCCCTTTTTATTGGTGAGTTTCAATTTGTGTGGTGCCACGAATTCGGCATAAGCGTTCAAATATTTAACCTTTCTCTTGTTCAATTCCTTTCGATAACCGAAATTCAAAGATTTTATGTAATTTTGCACGTTTTCGACCATAGTTTCCCACGTGTGATGTCCTGACACAAAAGATTACAATAAATTATATAATAAATGATAATTCGAATAAAATTTAAATTTCTTTTTAAAATAATACTTACCATCGGAAGTGTGAAAGTTCCAACCGAAACTTGAGGAATCATGATGATTTTCGGCGTGAATTGAAGCTTGATGCATCAATTTTTTAGGTATGCATCCAACATTGACGCAAGTGCCTCCCAAACCCCAGGTCGTACCCATGGGAGTAGGTTTGACGAAATCGCACAAAGCCACGGTCCTACCCAAAGTCGCTGCCTCCTACGTCACAAAGATAAAAGTTTTACGTGACCTTAAAAAAAAAATACTTTTTTTCGAAAGAAATAGGAAATGACACAAACGTCACCTTGGCGGCTGCCAATCCTCCGGAACCTCCACCGACAACAACCAAATCATAATCGTATTGACTTATTTCATTTGCATCCGATGATCCTTTGACCAATTGACTTAATTTTCCACTTTCGAAATGTTCCATGACTTCGTCGTGACCCCCCAAATTCGTTCCCTGAACGAAAACTTGGGGTAAATTATTCGTATTTGTTTTTTCTTTGATAACTTGTTGAATTTCATCCCCGTCCGTTTCGTCTTCCAAACTGTAAACGGCGGGTTTAACTCCGAGTCTGTAAAATACATCCTTTATCTAAAATCAAAAAAGTTTTTTTTTCATCTAAATAAAATATAATAACGGCGTTCCTTTACAGCTAATGTCGTAACAAACAAACCACAAAATACAACAGAAAAAAAAAAAACATTTCCGAAAGCTTCGGTTGTTAATAAATTAAAATTAAATGTAAGAGAGTGTGTTAGAGTTAGTCGAGAGAAAAAAGACATTTTTTTTGTAAAATGGCAAACCTTATAAGTATCAGGCATTGAATTAGCAAAAATTAAAATTTCATTTTGTTTAAGTAATTCGTTAAATTTTTTTTCATAGGGTGTCATGTTCGGCATGGCGAGAAGACGTTTTATTTCGCCTTCTCCGAAAGCTCTCGCAGTTTCTTCTAATCCTCCGATGAGTTTTCCTCTCACGTATACGTGCGGAGTAAAATTCGATTTGGTAGCCATTCGTAAATATTCTTGTATGAGAAGGCCATCCGGTTCCTTATCCAAGTGAAACATTTTCGGTTTTATTCCTATATTTTTGAACAGTGCTTTTACCTATTTTGTAAACATCATACGGCTTAATAATGACGTCATTTTTTTTCGAGCTTTATCGGAAAATATTATCGAAACAAAAACAAAAACAAACAAACAAACGAGACAAGCACAATCATTAGTTAAATTTTCTCCCTTTTTCCAACTCACCTTGGTTGAATTGTGACATGACGTCTTACTGAAAATAATCACGGTATGATCCTGTGTGAGTTTCTGAACTTTTTCTTGAGGAGTCGTCGTCGTCGTCGGATCACCTTTCAAAAGGTTGAGAAGTGATCCGTTTCCGTATGCTTTCATTGTGTCATCGCACCCGCCGACGTGTTTCGATTGAACAAACACGTTCGGCACCGTTCTCTGTTTTGTTAATTCGTACAAATATTTTTGAACTAAAGCTCCATCGGATTCTTTATCCAACTCGTACACGACAGGAGTTATGTTAAGCGATTGAAAAAGTAATTTTACCTGTGTGTGTGCAATTGTAAAATGAGAAAATTTGTCACGCGTTCATTGTTTTCAAATAAATCATTTATCGTGGTTTCAAATAATAATAATAATAATAATAATAATAACAACTTCTTTTGTTGCATTGTTTTTTATCTCGGGTACTCACTCGGGTGCAAAACGGGCACGTAGTTTTACTAAATATCGTTACTTCATTTTCGTTAATCAATTGTTGACATTTGTCAGCTACAATTTGCAAATCCATTTTTGGATTTTCGGAAGCGCCAGCGCTTTTTTTAGAAGATATTATCGAACCCGTCGTGAATTGTTTGCTAAATGAATGAAGAGATTTACAGAAAAAATCAATCAATCAATCAATCAGTAAGAGAAAATTATTATTGATAATAATAATAATAATAATGAAAGTAGATGATAGATAAACTTACGTAAAAATTGTATTTAATAAAAATTTTTTATTCCTATACGAAAATAACGATGATTGTGTTGAATCTCCATTTGATATTTTTCGATATGTTTTCCTATCGATAACTAACGGCAATAACTGTCTGATGAACTAAAATGAAAAAAAAAAAAAAAAGCATAAAAGGTCAATTATCAAAGGAAAGGAGGCGTTAACCGTTATTCTCTCTCTCCCCCTCTCCCCTTAATTTTCGCCCTTACCCTCTCCCCACAGAAAAAAAAAAAAAAAAAAAACTTAAAAATAACAATATTAAACGATAGCAAAACGTGTTTTACTCAACGACAACCAAGAACAAACTGATAATAATAATAATAATAATAATAAATTTTCATATGGTTTACCTTGCGATGAATTATCCTTGATTCTACCGTCGTAATAAGCATTAGTAATTTAATAATAATATTTCGTCATTTGTGTGGTTTTCACGAAATTTTTACTTTTTTTACTTTATGTAATAATAATAATAATAATAACTATTCCTCAATTTTATTTTATTCATTTATTTTATTTTTTCTCAACGAATCGTTAAAATATTTAAAAATTGTTTTTTTTTTTTTTTGAACCTTGCAAGAGTGTAATGCAAGATTCATCATCACAGTATTGGAAAACAAAATACCTAATACCTAATAAATAAAAATAAAAAAAATACCTAAACAGACAAATTAAAAAAAAAAAAATTTCACTTTGATTTCTATGTGTTTTAGGAGGGGGGAATGGGGGTGGGGTGGGGGGGAGCAACAAACAACTTTTTCTCTTTAAAGAGGAAAAAATTTAAAATAATTAAAATTTTTTTTTTTTTTTTTTTTTAATTAAAAAGAGAGCACTTGACCGTGACCTGGTTGTTGTTAGGTAAGGGCAAAGTTAAAATTTTGTGTATAAATATTTCATTAAAATAATGAAGACATTTTTAGGAACGTTGAACGGCAAAAAAAAAAGAAACAAATAAATTAGATCAAATTAAATGAATTCATTTTTTTTTTCCTCGAAAGGTAAAACAAAAAATTATAAGGTCAAAAATAATAATAATAATAATAACACATAGATTGTTATTGGAATATGATCACGTCAAAAAATACTTTTACTATTTGTCAAGGCTATCATTTAAAAAAAAAAAAAGAAAAACATCGTCATTACAATACATCGATTTTTTTTTTTAAAAATAAAATATAAATAAAATTTTTTTGTCATTTTTTCCAACAACAACCAGTCGATTCGTATTTTGATCGTGGAAGCAGACTAATCGCATTAATTAGATAAGATATCAAGTCTGATGAAAACCACAAAAAAAATTGATTTATATCTTTTATCATTTGTTATAAAACTTTTCTTTTTTTTTTAAACACATACAATATTATCTTATTTAAATATATATTTAAAATAAATTTTTTTTTAAATAACCTTAATATTAATTTGTAAAAAAAAAAAAAGAGACAGAAAAAAATATAAAAATAAAAAAATATCAAAAGCACGTTCTCACTCAATAAAACTCGAGACTGGCTCTCAAGTTCATTATAATCTGAGCATGCGCACATTCGTTTTCTTTTTTTACCAACGAGAACTTTCCCTGTCACATTTTTTTTTTTTTTTTTTCATAAAAACGATTATTAAAGTCGAACGCATTAACGTAATTTTTTTTGTCTTGTTTTTCTTTAAATAATAATATTTATGCTAAATAACTAAAAATTTATAATCAAGACTCAATACTTAATAATATAATAATAATACTTAATATAATATAATAATAATAATGCAATAAGACAAAATACTTTAATAAAAATTAAAATCGATTAAAAAAATTGAAATTAACAAATGAAATGTGATGGATTTATTTAACTTCTCCTTGTTCATACTAATATGCTAAAAAGTATGTCATTTATAAAACCATAAAACACATTCACAAACCTAAACTACTTTTCACATCATGATCCCTTCTACAAAATGTATCACATTGAGTGATAGGTTCAGAGAAAAAAGTTCCCGACTAAATATTTTATCGTTTAAATTGATTTCCTTTACTTAATATTTCTTTTTATACTAATTAAATTTATAATTAAATACATTATGGTTCAATTAATTTTTTTTTTTTTGGCTTAATATTTAATTTTTTTAAAATAAATTTAATGAATGAATGAACGAATGAATGACTTAGCATTTTTTGTAAATTATTTATTCATTTATATAGAAAACTTACTCTGTTACTGGTAAATATGTCGTTATCATCAGTTTCTAAAATTAATGATAATATCAATATTCCTGATAACAGTTCCCATCTGAATAGCATTTCATTATGAACATAACTTACATACTGTAATATCTGAAAGTGTGATACTCATTACTAACATAATCACACCGATTATAAGAATTTTAAAATTTCTCGATAATAATAATACTTATTTTACAAATATAATCATTGCTATGATATCTACTTAAAATAAAATTAAAAAACATGTTTAAAATATAATTATTTCATCTGACATGTTTACACCAATGTTATTCAGTACAGAGAGAATTATGTACATCAATCAATGCTTAATATTATTTATGAAAAAAAAAAAAAAAATCAAACAATAAATATTTATAATTTTAATGAATAAGAAGGTTAAACGACAACTTTTGAAGGGAAAAAGAAATTAAATCAAGACGAAAATACGACTTGGAATAAAATATTTGTATTTAAAACACATACATTTTAAATGTGTTTAATCACTTCCGCAAAAATTGGAAAGTTTAGTTAAAAAAATATTTGTTGGTAAATAATTATAAAACTATTCGTTGTTTATCATTAAATATAGTTTGATAAAAAAACAATAAAGTTTACTTACTTCCTGGTTAAATAATAAAATAAAATAAATGCACAAGAAATAACGAAATGCAACAAGAACTAAAATTTATGTCAAGGGTGAAATCATAGAGTATTAAATTTACCGATATATCGTAAAAAATCGCCGGTATCGTCATAATCGATATAATCGCAATTTTTAGTCTGTGCCTAACTGAGTACTATAGAACTTTGAACTTTTTATTTTAAAAAAGATAATTTTTGAATTAACGACATTTCTTATTAATCTACCATATGAACGATTCGTTTTTTACTACTTTAAGCAATGGTACGTTTCATAATTATAAATTAATTTGCAATTTATTTCATTTTTTTACTTTTTTAATGTCCACGTTGACTTTTTTTTTCAACTTCAAAAACTTTACAATATTATGTAATTTTAAAAAACGTGACTACATTCTTGTAACAAGCGCCAACTTTTTTTCTCTTCATATCAGTTTTGTTAATTAAATGTATTTTCAATTGAAATTTAGAAAATTAAAAGCGTTTTTCCTTACAGTCTGGCGGAATTGAAAGAAAAGCAACTTTTAAAGTTGATTACCTTAAGGAAATAGAAGAACAAGTTCAAAAACAATGGGATGAAAAAAAAATTTTCGAAATTAATGCTCCCACTGAAAATGAAGAAATTCCCCAAAAGTTTCTCACAACTTTTCCTTTTCCATACATGAATGGACGGTTACATTTAGGGCACACATTTACTCTGTCAAAATGTGAGTTTGCAGTAAGATTTCACAGGCTTAAAGGCAAAAAAGTATTATTTCCTTTTGGATTTCATTGTACTGGAATGCCAATTAAAGCCTGTGCAGATAAATTAAAAAGAGAATTAGAAGAATTTGGCTATCCACCTGATTTTCCCAAATCGGAGGAGCCTGTTTTAGATGAAGTATCAGATGCTCCAAAGGATAAAAGTAAAGGAAAAAAGGTACTGAAATAATTTTTATGTCTTAGGACTTTTAAAATTTTCCAAAGTCAGTAAACTTGAATTCTAAATTAAAATTTTTATTATAGAGCAAAGCAATGGCCAAATCTGTTGGGGCTAAATATCAATGGCAAATTATGCAATCATTAGGTTTATCAGATGATGAAATCAAAAATTTTGCAGAAGCTGAATATTGGTTAGATTATTTTCCCGAGTTGGCTGTAAAGGATCTAAAGAGAATCGGACTTCATGTATGAATTTTTATTCCTAATATTATATTTTAAACAATTCTTTTTAATTTTAAAATTTTAAAACCAATTTAAAACTTAAATTATGAATGGGTAATTGAAATTTTAATTATATATAATGAAAATAGGTTGATTGGAGACGAACATTCATAACTACAGATGCAAATCCTTTTTTTGACTCATTCGTTCGATGGTCTTTAATAAAATTAAAAAACCAAAATAGGGTTATGTTTGGAAAAAGATATACAATTTTTTCACCTAAAGATAATCAACCATGCATGGATCATGATCGAAGTAAGGGAGAAGGAGCAGGTCCTCAGGAATATACTTTAATTAAAATGAAAGTAACTTCGGTGCTACCTCCTAAACTAGAGTAAGTTTATTAGCATATAATTTCATTAAAAAAATATTTTATGAAAATCCTCATATTAATATTTTATCTAATAATTTAATTCAATTTTAGAATGTTCAAAAATAAACCTGTTTTTTTGGTGGCAGCAACATTAAGACCGGAAACAATGTATGGGCAAACAAATTGTTGGGTTAGACCCGATATGAAATATATAGCTTTCGAAACGGAACAAAAGGAAATTTTTATATGTACACATCGTGCTGCTAGAAACATGTCTTATCAAGGCATCACTCAGCAAGAAGGGAATGTTAAAATATTAGCAGAAATTTTAGGAGAAGATATACTTGGACTCGCTCTTTCAGCTCCCCTTAGTGTTAATAAAACAATATACACTCTTCCAATGCTTACCATTAAAGAAGATAAAGGGACAGGAGTTGTGACGTCTGTTCCATCAGATTCACCTGATGATTATGCAGCTCTTGTAGATCTCAAAAAAAAACCAGGTACGACATCAAAAAAAAAAATAGTCTTTTGATCAAAATTAATTTATAAGTATAACTGATTTACCTGTTTGTGAAACGTTGCAGCGTTGAGAGAAAAATACAACATCAAAGATGAAATGGTTATGAATTATGATCCGGTTCCAATTATCGAAATTCCCGAATTCGGTTCACTCTGCGCTCCTACAGTGTATGAAAAACTTAAAATACAATCGCAAAACGATAGGGAAAAATTACAAGAAGCCAAGGAATTGGTGTACCTGAAGGGTTTTTACGATGGTGTTATGCTCGTCGGAGAATACAAGGGTGAAAAAGTTCAAAATGTAAAAAAATTACTTCAAAAACAATTGGTAGACAAGAAGGAAGGTTTAATTTATTACGAACCTGAAAAAACTATTATTTCAAGGTACGGAAATGGAAATAATTGCTGAAATTTTGCTGCTCCTTATTATTGTATGTACCTTAAAGTAAAAACTTTTTACAAAGTCATTTTTAATATTTTTTTTTTTTTTTAGATCTGGTGATGAATGTGTTGTTGCTTTATGCGATCAGTGGTATTTGGATTACGGTAATCCAAAATGGAAAGAATTAACAGTTAAAGCTCTCGATAAAGTAAACACTTTTCACGAAGAAGTTAGAAAAAATTTGCTCGTCACAATCGATTGGTTACGAGAGCACGCATGTTCTAGAAAATACGGTTTAGGTTTGTTTTCGTGCAAAAAAAAAAATCCATAAAATTTTCTTTTCGTTTCGTAAACTAAGTCAAAACGAGGAAAAGGTATCCAATTTTTTTTTTTTTTTTTTGTAGGTTCCAAGTTACCGTGGGATGAAAATTGGCTCATAGAATCTTTATCGGATTCCACAATTTATAACGCTTATTACACCATCGCTCATTTTCTCCAGGGAAATACATTCAAGGGTGATAAACCGAACGTTTTTAATATCCAGGCAAAAGATATGACGCCTGAAGTTTGGGAATATATATTTGTGAAAGACGCTCCAGAGCCCAAAACGAAAATCCCATTAGAATCTCTTAAAGTAATAATTTTTTTTTTTTTTTCTTTCTACGTTGTTTGTAAACAAAATTATTAATTTTTTTTTTTTTTTTTCTGTTTTTAACTCGAAAAAAATGAAAAGGGAATTTCAATATTGGTATCCGGTCGACGTGAGGGGTTCCGGTAAAGATTTAATTCAAAATCATTTATCGTATTTTCTTTTCAATCACACGTCAATATGGATAAACGAACCGGATAAATGGCCGAAAGGTATTCGCGCAAACGGTCATTTAATGTTGAATTCAATGAAAGTAAGTAAAGGTAAATTTGTCGGGAGGGGTTGGCGAGGGGTTGGAAATTTAATTTCTCTACTTTTTATTAACCAGATGTCAAAATCCGAAGGGAATTTTTTGACTCTGTCCGAAGCTGTCGATAAATTTAGCGCTGACGGTATGAGATTATCATTGGCGGATGCGGGAGATTCGATAGAAGATGCCAATTTCGTCGAAACTATGGCCGATGCCGCCATATTACGTTTGTATAATTTTATCGAATGGGTTAAAGAAGTTTTAAAACCGGAAAGCAATTTGAGAACGGATTCGCTCGAAACGTTCAACGATAAAGTTTTCAAAAGGTAAATTTTTTTTTTTTTTTCGGGTTATTTTGCGACGCCGCCATTGACGTTTCTCAATGCAGACATCCATGATTTTTTTTTTTTTTTTTTTTTTTCTTTCAGCGAAATAAATCTTAAAATAAAAAAATCGGAAAAATTTTATGAAAACATGATGTTTAAAGAAGCTTTAAAAGTTGGATTTTTCGAATTACAAGCCGCGAGAGACAAATACAGAAAATTGAGTCTCGATGGAATGAATCGAAATTTGATTTTGAGATTTATAGAAGTTCAAGCTTTGTTATTATCACCCATTTGTCCTCACGTCAGCGAATTCGTTGGGTCTTTATTAGGAAAAGTGAGTTGGATTGTTTACAACGTGTTTATTCTTTCTTTCTTTCTTCAATAAAAATTTTCATTACAGGAAGGTTCGATAATGGGAAGCCAAATGGCCCGAGTACGGATGGATCGATGAGGGAGCCGTCAAAGCTTCCGAATATTTTATCGAAGCCGCTCATTCTTTACGTCTTCACTTGAAAAATTATATGACTCCGAGAAAGGGGAAAAAGGGAGAAACGAGTGGTACGATTGAAAAACCGACTCACGCTTTTATTTGGGTCGCAAAAAGTTTGCCACCCTGGCAATCAACGGTCGTCACGTGTTTAAAAGAATTACACCAAGTTAGTATCGGTGGAATCGACGTCTGTCGGAAATTTTTTTTTTTTAATTATTATAATTAATTTTGTATTTTTTACATTTTATAAGAAATCCGGCGTTTTACCAGAGAACAAATTAGTGGCGGCGGAATTAAATTCGAAACCAGAATTGAAAAAATACGGGAAAAAATTGATGCCATTCGTGCAAGCGACGAGGGAAAAAGTTGAAAAAATCGGTTTCGCAGCCTACAACCTGACATTGGATTTTTCGGAAATGGCCGCATTAGAAGAAAATAAAGAATATTTAAAACAAACATTAGAGGTTTTTTTCTTTTTTTTAATTATTTAATTTTTAGTTTTCCTCGTTTGATCCGGAAAATTATAATTTGTTATTACGTTTCATTAGCTCGAAGACATTGAATTTTGGTACTCGGAAGAAACCGGGCCGGAAAATCTTAGAGACGAATGTTGTCCGGGAAAACCACACATTGCATTCACGAAGGGAGTCACGTTACATTTAGACAATCCTCAACCTCATTCCGGTTTTTATTCGAGAAATCTTTTGATTCAAGATGGAGACACGGTTGAGTCCGTCATAGAGAAATTAAAAATTACATTTAAAACGCTCGGAGATCAAGTCATCAATCGTAAGTTATATCAAAAATTAAATTTTTTTTTTTTTTTTTTTTTTTTTTTTGTAAAATTGGAAAATTGAATTTTTGCTTTTTAGAACCGAATGACATTCAACTGTGGAGGTATAACGATCATTTATTAGGTCCGAGAACGATGCCGTCATTCGGAAAAGCAACGGATGGGAAAACTTTGGTGTCGGAAAATTCAACTTTTCACTGTTCATTCGATGATAAAAAATTATTTTTAGTAGATGAAAACGGATCTAAAATTCCAATCGGTAACACTTTGATTTACGTAACGAACGATCCACCGCCAAAACCGAAACATTTCCCACCCGGAGATTCATTTTCCAATATAACTCAAACCGTATAAAATGTTAGTGAAAATTATTTATTAAAAATTAATTATATGGTTGTGACCAGAAGCACAAATTAGGAAGGAGGGGTAGGGAGGGGAGGGGAGGGGAGGAGTTGAGGGAAGCGATCGAATTTGAGAATGGTTTTAAGTAATTTATTTAATTTCTTTTTGAAATATTTTTGTCACAAAATGTCTACGGAATTTTTTAAAAAAAAAAGAAATTTAAATTTTTTTAAATTTTTGTTTTGTTTTTTTTTAAATGTAAATCTCCAAACTGTTTTATTTAATAAAATATACAACATTAAACTAAAAAATTATTAACAAATCATTTACCAAAAATTATAAAAAAATTCCATTTTGAATGATTTTACAAAATAGAAGATTTTTTAAAATCAATTTTTTTTATTCATCTACTTTAATAATCTAAAAATGAAAGAAATATTACAAATAAAATCTTATTAAATAAATTTTTTAATAAGGTAAAAGATGTACACGCGCTCTCACACGGAATCAGACACGCACACAAACACACGCACGCACTCACGCACACACACACAATAACAACGTAGTATTTAAATAAAAATTTAATTAAGTCTTTTAAAAATAATAATAAGAAAAAAATATTTTTCAAGGCTACCGATATTCGATTTTTTCATCGGGTGTGTAGGGTATATAGTAAGCACTTTGACTTTGCAACGTGTTCTGATGATAGGATTGCATTTGTGATTGAGGCCTCATAGTGGCATAATGTTTAACCGATGAAGCATCGATACTCGGAGTCATGACTTTATGCGGTAGGGTAGCATATGTCGGAGCCATGTAAAGACTCGGTTGTCCAGGTTTAACAGAATATAAACACGCGCTCGATGGTGCATAGGGTGCAGGTACGGAATTTCCTTGATATTGATTGTTCATCATTCTGAGCCTTATTATGCAAATGACGATAACTAGTATAATAATAAAAGCAACGACGCCACCGACTATACCGATAATTAATACGTCATCATTATTTAACGAATTGGAATTTGCTGTTATTATTTTCGGTGGTTTTTGCGTCATTTTTTTATTTTTCGGACTAAACGACCAAATAACATCGGATTCGGTCGTTGTTTTCCTATAATTTTTTGTTATTATTGACGTGTATTTGGGCGTCGTCGTCGTCGTCGTCGTCGTCGATTCCGTCGACGTCGTTTTTTCCGTTGGTTTCCTAACATCGCATGATAATTCACTTTCCGGTAAATCTCTTAGCGACGCCCCCATCAAATCACCATTGTGACATATTATCTTTATTTTTTTATTTGAATTTAACCATTTTTTTAAACCTTTTGCCGTGCAATCGCATATAATCGGATTCGTATCCAAACCTTTTAATGTCACGTGATTCCGATGATCTTCGAACATGGAAATAAATTGCGGGGATAGGGTAGATATTTTAGAATTTGACACGTCGAAAACAATATCGGACGATCTCGGAAGTGGAAAAAACAGTCCTTGGGGAAGTGTCGTCACCGACGTGTTGACCAACGATAAAATTATCTTTGGAGCTTTTAATCCAGCAAATGTTCCGCTAGAAACGGAAGTTATGTGTTCTCCATAAAGTCCCAAATGTCTCAAACGTGGATGCATTATTCTCGATAATTTTTCCGACACGATATTCGCATCCTTCATTTCGATTTCTAATGATTCCAAAGTCGTCAGGTACTCGAGTATACCCTGAACGTCTAAATACCCTAATCTCGGATAATTGTAAGCTTTTAATTCTTTTAATCCACTCAAGGATTTAAATGCGTTCTTTTCGATTTTTAATACGTTTGGTAAATCGTGCATGTCCAATTTTTTCAAAGATTTCAAATCTTTAAAATGATGAGTCAATACTTCTTGTATTTCGTTACCGGAAATGTAAAGATTTTTCAATTCTTTTGTCGAATCCCATGCTGAGACGTCATTTAAATTTTTTATTTTATTTTTCGATAAATCTAAATCTTCTAAAAGATTACTTCTTTCAAATACTTTCGGATGTACTAGAGTTATATTATTATTCGAAACGTTTAACTTTTGTAAAAATGGCATTTGTAATTCTTTTATTTCATTTATGCCAACTCCTGATAAATTTATTTCCCTCACGGTTTTCGGTTCCCCTAAAATATTTTCTATTGATTCTTTCGACAGAGGATTATAAGACAAATCTAATTTTTTTATATTAACGATCGTTACGTCATCCGAAGAAATCTCTTTTATGTTGTTTTCTGCCAAATTAACGGAATTTAAAAAAAAATATTGTTTTTGCAGTGATTTCAAAGGAGGCTCGGAAAATTTATTCTTTGACAAATCGATATTTTCAAGCATTTGAAGTCTAGATCTTTCGAAAATCGTTTCCGGTAAATCATCTAATAAATTATCGTGTAAATTTAAATTTTCCATTCTTAGAAGGCCTTCAAATGTTCTCTCGCCGATTCTATTTATTTGATTTTGACTCAAATCTAATATTTGTAATTGTGTCGAATTATGAAATGCGGATTCGCTAACGTATTCAATTTCGTTACCTTTTAATATTAATTCTCTTAATCTGGGTAATCTTGAATAATCCATTTCTTCGATGGCTTTCAATTTATTATTACTTAAATCTAACGTTTCGAGAAATTGCATGTTTGCTATTAAATCCGGTGGGAAAAATGTAAATTTATTATCGTGAGCAATTATCGATTTTAATTTTCTATGGATTTTAAATGCCGTTGGAAAAAAATAACTTATTTCGTTGTTAGCAACGTTTAAATATTCCAATTCCGTTAAATTTTTATTATCCGACGATCGAACGTTATTAAAATATTCACCTTTGAAAGCGTTCAATTTATTATTATTTAAAAGTAATGTTTTCAATTTTCGATTGTTGCCCAAAAAACCAGGTTTCAATGTCGTTATGTTATTATAACTCAAATCCAAATACGTTAAATTATTTAAATTTCTAAATGCATTTTCGTTAACCACTTCGATTAAATTATACGATAAAATTAATTGTAACAAATTAATTGATTCGCTAAACCAATCCGCGTGTATGTTGGTCACACCGCAATTGCTCATGTCCAATGTGGCCAACATTGGAAAATTATTGAAAAATGTACTTTCCAACGATTCCAAATAAAAATTATTACTCATGTTGAAATGTTTTAAATTAACGAGTTGTGTGAATTGTTCCCATGGTAAATCCGGAAACATATTTTCCGATAAATCTAAATAAATTAATTTCGATAAACTTAAATCCGGTCCTGATAAATATTTGATTTTATTTTGTCCCAAATGTAAATATTCTAAAGTGTCTTCTAGTCCTTGAAACGTTTGACCGTTTATGTTCGTTAATAGATTACCATTTAAATTTAATATTTTTAAACGTTTCAAATGTTGAAAAGTACCATCTGGTATTTCTCTAATAACGTTACGTGCTAAATTAAAATAAATCAATTCGTTTGTTGTCGATTGCAAAATGTCGCGTGATAATGCCGATATACGATTATAAGATATATCTAAATAAACGAGTTTTGGTAAACGTCCCAATGCTGAACCTGGTATAAGAAGAATGTTGTTATCGTTGAGAGAAAGTTGTTCGAGATTTTCCAATCCTTCAAATGCATCATCTTCAATCTGTTTAAAAAAAAAAACAAATAATAATAATGATAGTCATTTTCCTTGAAGTTATGAATAGTATTTGTGAATCACAAAGTCATAAAATTGTTAATTAATTATTTTTTTTTTTTGTCATGACAAAAAATATATTTAAATATTGAAAAATTATATGAATCACAATATATATGGCCTTTCGATGGGTTTTTTTTTCTAAATCGATAGTTAATTTAACCTTGACTGCGCCCAAATCCTTAAACTGCATTCTTATTTATATTAAATATGGCGGTCAGAAGGGAGAATAAATAAAAAAAAAAAAAATACTCACCGTCCTTAATGAGTTCACGCTTAAATCGAGTTGTCTAAGTTTTTTCAAACCTAAAAAAGTACCTGGTTGTATGCTATTTATACTATTTCTACTTAAATCCAATGTTTCCAAATTAATTAACGTATTTAAATGTGTATTAGTTAATTTTTTTATCAAATTCGATGATAAATTTAAATTTTTTAATTTTGTTAATTCTTTTAATGTAACGTAAGGATATTCTGTAAAATAATTTTGTGATAAATCCAAAGTTTCTAAATTTTCAGCTCCTGAAAATAAAAATAAAAAAACAAAAAAAACAAAAAATTAAAACTTGTTGTTACTTACTTGTTGTTGTTAAAAAGGAAAAAAAGCGGGAACTTTTGTTTTGATTTGTTTTGAGTGATATGAAAAAATTTTACGCGAAGAAGGCGGTGGATTATCGATAACCGTTGACGCGAAAAAAAAAAAAAACAAAATGGCGCCTTTTAACTTTCTTTTTTTTTCTCCTTCTGTTTTTTTTCTTCTTTATTATGAACTGTTAACCCGAAAACCTCTTTTTATTCTGTTGTTGTTAAATAAAAAACAATGGAAACCATAATTGTTTCTTCGTTGCAAATTAAAAAAAAGAAAAAAACAAAGAAATTGTCCGTGACAATGAATATAAAAATTTTTTCATTCGAATCATTCATTCATTAAAAAAAAAAAAAAACGATCGGTTAAGATTTTAAGGTCGATAAATAAGTAAATTATTTATAAAATAAGTGAAAATTATTTTACAACCTTTAAATAAAAATATAAACAAAACGAAAAAAAATATTTAATAAAATGTGTTGATTCGCGTTATCCTTGTTCGTTTAACTTTAATTAATTTTCAATAAGTTATTAAAAAACTTGGAAAAATGTTGTTTCGTATTGACCCAATCTTCGATAACGAACACAAAAAAAATATCGATTATAAATTTAAATAAAAAAACCTTGGAAAAAAAAAAAAAAAATCATTCTCGCGTCCTAAAAAGAAAAAAAAATTTTTAAACGGACATACCTGAAAATACGTCGCTGTTAAATCTCGACAGAGAATTTGATGATAAATAAATTTCGTTTAAATTATTTAATCCTGTAAAACTTCCACCATCGATCGATATCAAATCGTTTCCGGTTAATATTAATTTATTTAAATTTTTTTGCGCGCCAAAATCATTTCTTTTAATTGTTTTTATTTTATTATTTTTCAACGAGAGCGTTTTCAATGCTTTTGGTCCGTTTAATGATTGATAAGGTATATCCGTTATCAAATTCGAATCCAATATCAATTCCTAAATAAATAAAAAATTATTATTATTATGTATTAAAATTTTTTTTTTTGTATTACTCCCGTGTTTTACGAGAGAAATCGAATAAATAAATAATTATTATTATTATGTCGAATAACGAGAATTTTATATTATGTAAGGAAAAGAAGATATTGAATAAAATATTATTATTATTAATTTATTACCTCAAGATTATCGCAACCTCTTAATATTCCTTCTTCTAATTCTCTTATTTGATTTCCGGTTAAATCTAATTTAAATAAATTTTTTAAATTTTGTAATTCCGTCGTTGCAAATATCGGATTGAAATTATCACCTAATAAATTATGAGATAAATTTATTACTCTTATTGTATCGGAAACGCTTGCGAATAATCTATCGGAAAGTCTTCTTAATGAATTATGTGAAAAATCAAGTGTTAAAAGCGGAAGTTGAGATCTTGAAAACATTTCCGATGGTAACGTTTGATGACCGGACCATCTTTGACTGTAATAAAATTATTATTATTATTATTTTAATTTCCGGAAACGAATCTTTTTTTTAAAGAAGGGATTTCATGTTGATTAAAACGGAAGTGGTGGTGTACTACGGTAATCCAATTACTCGGAGAGTAGGTACAGGCGGGGGTTCTGAGATTGAATTTCCCAGGTTGAGTAGGTTCGCTAAGGGTAAATCTTCAATTTGAATGTCTTGGGGGAACCCGAGGTTAAGTTCAAATAGGAAAAAAATCGGCCAAGAAGTCATCGAGTTGAAATCTTTAGGAGTGGGAGTTTAATTTCAGCTCATCCAAACAAGAACAGACCTGTACCTATGTTAGGGGGATAAGTGATTTGAGGCACATGGAATACGTCGACCCTTGTTCGAGAGGGTAAACCTGGGTACTTGATTCAGAATAGGGTAAAATACGGAGCTGCGATGGGAAAGGAAGACAGATGAACGATCAACGGAATTTGGAACCCCGGACATCTTTCTCCTCTGGAAACTCGAAGGCTGCGGAAGAGGCAGGAACGATGGTAACAGATCGCGAACGTCTCTAAAAGGGTAAAAAGAGGAAGTACTGGGATCTCCCTCGGGTGGGATAAGTGTGAACCTGATGGTTCTGGCTCAAGAGGGGGTTGAGGCTGAAATGCAGATGTGCCCCTCCGTCCAAGAAAGAGCACGGTGAAACACATTTAGGAGTTTTAGTCGCACCCTCTCCTAGCTACCGGGCGGGGTGGGGGAGATTAGTGCCTCAAAATTCATTTCTCTAGGTTTAACAAAAAAAAAAAAAAATTTAATTTAAACTTACCGGAATTCAATTATCGGTGTATTATGTGGAAGCATTGGAAGATCACCGGAAAAAACGATTCTGTCACAATCCATGACTAAACCAATTCCTTGTTCTAGAAAAATTGTCGGTTGTACGTCACATTTACATGGCACTGTTAAATCTTTGTGTATTTCATTACATGGAACCGACGAATTTACGTATTTAAATAATCCTAATAATAATAATAATATTCTCGCGAATTTTTTTATTCCCTACGAAAAAAAAAAGAAAAATTATTAAATTATTAAAAATTATTATTAATCATTTTCGATGGATAATTATTGATAATAAATAATTAATAAAATTTTTTTTTTTTATAAAAAAAAAAAAACTCTCTCGATGTAATTCGAGTGAAATTAAAAAAAAAAAAAAAAAAAAAAAAAAAATTTGGGTGCGGAAATCTTGTTTTGTAAAAAAACTTTCACCTTTTAATTATTATTATTATTATTATTATTATTATTATCTTCTTATTCGTTATGCATAAAAAAAAACATTTTAAACATTGCAAATATTTTATTCTTTAAAAACATTTAAAATTAACGACCGTTTTTTTTTTTTTAATAACGTTTTACGTTTTTTTTTTTATCAATTGTTATTGAGTGATAATAATAATAATAAAGTGCGTTTAAACGATGAGTAAATAATGATGACGTTTTCTTTCCCTCTTTTTTCTATTCTCCATAAAAAAAATGTCGGGACTAAAAATTTTTTTTTGAATTTTAATAATTTTGTTTATAATTTTTTTATGTTAATTTTTATTAAAAAAAAAAAAGTAGATTTTGTTTCAAAATATTTACCACGCCTAACCCCTTCCCGCCCATCCCCGCCCTTTTCCTTCCCCTCTTACTAAACCGTAATAAAAAATAAAAAAACGTGACGAAGGGTTTTGAAACTTTTCTTTTTCTCTCTTTCTTTCTCTTTCACAAAAACAATATTCGAAACATAAAAATGAGAGAAGAAAAATTTTAATATGTATGTTATAATAATAATAATAATATTAACCTTAAACATTTAACCTCACGCTAATTAATAATAAAATAATAATAATAATATTGATTTCATAAATAGTTAAATAATTTTCAAGGTGAACTTTTTTTATTTTTTTTTTATTTTGATGTATAAAAAATTTAGGACGGCGATGATGATGGCGACGACGACAACGATGACGACAAAAATGACGTCACAATTAAATTTACACACGAAAAATAATTAATAATAATAATAAACTTTCACGTTGGAAAAAAAAAAAAATTTTATTTTTTTTATTTTTACAAGTGGGATGATGATGATGTGACGCGTTAATTTTATTTGATGATGATGATGATGATAATGATGGTGATGGTGATGGTGATGGTGATGGTGATGATGATAATGATGATGATGATGATGATGAGGTATATAGGAAAAAAAAACCCGCGAAAGGTAACTCGTAGGTATTAATTAGGTTGCACGGCGAAAATATTTTATGAAAATGGATAAAAGGATTTATGAAACTGTAATATAACGGTTTGTAAATTGTTTTACGTAATTTATGAAAGGTCATTTCTTCTATGAGAACTCAAAAAAAATTTAATAAAAATTTCAAAAAAAAAAAAAAAAACTCGGCGATTTCAGGTCTTAAACCTGCTGTTATAACCACCTTCGAGGCATTTTTTTTTTTTAATTAAAGTACAACGAACTTAAAATCATTTTTTTCGAATCTTTCTCTCTCACTCTTTCACTCTCTCTCTCTCTGTTGTAAACAAATGAATAACTTATATCGTAAACCTTAATTATGTAGAATTAATGAAAGAAAATTAATAATAATAATAATAATAATTAGTAATAATATTAATTTTTATCTAACAGTATTTGAATACTGTGGTAAAAGAGAGAAAGAGAGAGAGAGAGAGAGGGAAAATTAAATTAAATTTTTAACCCGGTTTTTATTAATTTCTTTACGTTTTACTTTTCATAAAAATCAAATTAAAAATTTTTTTTTTGGAAATTTTCCTTATCCGTTTCCGGGTTACAAAAAAAAAAAAAAATGAAGAAGAAACCAACGATCGGAAAATTTTTTTTTTTAATGGTTGTTTGTCACCGATAATTAATTCCGATTAAATTTTTTTTTTCGTCATTCATAACTTAATTATTTATTTGTTTCATAACTTAAAAACAAACGTAATAATCGTTTGTTTTCTTATTGTTAATAACAAACGTGAAAATATTCGTAAAACGTAATTTTTATGAAACAAATTATTGAAAAAAAAAAAAAAAACGAAAAAAATCGACGCGAAATATTTATGAAACAAACAAAAAAAAAAAATGTTACGAAAAAAATTGTTTTTCGATAATAATAATAATAATAATAAATTAAAATAAAAAAATTATCCGGTTGTTTGATTGTTAAAAATTAAACGAATAAATTTTTTTTAAAAAACTTTCTTTATCCGTTTGTCGAAAGTAATTCTGTAATAAAAAAGGCACGGCCGTACTTCATCGTTAAATTTAATACTCTTTACAAACGAGTGAAAATCATCATCATTATTATTATCATTAATTAATTTTCTTTCCGTTTGTTTGTTTTGACATTTAAAAAAAAAAAAACAAAAAATGCTAACGGAAATAAATTTAATACCGTCGGGATATACATTTTGTCAAACTGGAAATTAAAAAACAACAACTTTCACATTATGTACTGTTTTATTATTATTATTATTATTATTATTATTATTATTATTATTATTATTATTATTATTATTATTATTATTATTATTATTATTACAAATTGTTTGTTTGTTTCGTCACGACAGTATTATTTGTTTCTATGTAAATCCGGGAGTTGAGTTTTGGTCCGTACATCATCAAGTTTTTATCAGGTTTTATTCATACTCTCAAGAAAATTAAAAAAAAAAAAATTATTTTAACCGGAAGTACTATGACCACGTGTACCGAATCCACGCGTACAATTCCACGTGTTATATTTGTTTTTTTAACGATGTTTTTAGTTAAATTTTTCTTATAAATTTTTTTAAAAATAATTTTATTATTGCAGAAAGGTTGTTTGTTTTGCAATCGATCGCTCTTTTGCAAACAACAACAACAAATTCTTTCTTTCTTTCTTTTTATTAAACACGTAATAATTGACCAAAGGCGGTTTTTTATATCTATCTCAGGTAAAAAAAAAATTTGAAAGTAATGTCAGAAAGAATTATTTAAAAAAAAAAAAAAAAAGAAAAATGGCGAACATGAGAAATTATTTTAAGATCGGAATGAAAAATTTATCTGATAAGTAACCGTACAATCGACGTGTGTGTGTGCATAACCGGTTGTTAGCCTTGAAAAAAAATTTTTTTTGTCGTGTCCCGGTTTTCAGGTACTGACTCACGTCATCACAAAATAAATTTTCAACTCTCAAACCTTAATTTGTCTTTTTTTTGTCGAATGAAGAATGAATGACACGGCAGAATGTAAAAAAAAAAAAAAATCATAGAGAAAGAAAACAAAAAAATGTTTTAAACACACAAAATGGCGGTTTTGATTTTGTCATTACGTTCTTCATTCTCTTCTCTTTTTACAAATAATAATAATAATGATAATAATATTTATTTACCGATCGTAAAAAAAAATGTCTGGAGGTTGAATAAATTCTTTTTGACTTACACGACTCGATTAAATTTTTTTTTAAATTTTCAAAAATTTTTTTTTATTAAAAAAACGTGTTTTCGATTTGTATGAGAAAAAAAAAAGAAACGTTACGTTATTTTAAAAAAAAAAATAACGTTATTGACACGCTTTATTGAAGATTTAAAAAAAAAAAAAAAAAAAAAAATTCAATAAAAATTATATAATTAAATAAAAAAAAAATAAAAAAACGAACAAAACATTTTATTCGGTTACACTCCGATTATCATTATCATCATTATTATTATTTTTCGGTTGAAATTATTAAAAAAAGGAATCTCGAATTTTCTATGTATAATTTAAATGTTTAAAAAAAAACCCAATTAAAAATAATTATTATTATTATTTAAATCAAATATCTAATTACCCGACTTCCTTTTCCCGCGCTTATTTAAAAACGTAAACAAAATCGTTAAAAAAATTAGAAAGAATTTTTCTTTTTTTTTTCCACATCGGATTAACGATACTTATTATTAT